TTATTCACTGGGCTTTAGCTCACTGCTCATATATATATGCAGGTGTTCAGGCACCAGATCGGAGTTAGGAGCGTCAGGGTAACTCCAGTTTTGTCAAGCCAGCCTTTGTGCCTCACTGCGAGGTTCCGAGGTGCCTAGAAAAGGCTTAGGGGTCTTTTACAATTCCCCCTTCTGTACTGTTTTACTGTTCTGTATAGACCGAGTGTTACTGTACTGTTATCTGGACAGGGAGATTGAATTTACCGTTGACATCTTCTTCCTATTGCTTCCGTCGATCAACCCGCTGATATCTTCACTAAGGCTCATCCTCCTGGCCGCTTCAATGATCTTGTTTCCAAACTCAACTTGGTTGATGCTTTCCCTCCTTGAGTTTGCGGGGGGCTGTTAGAATAGCTTTAGCATAGCTTTAGCAGACTTCATTATTATTTGTATAGCTTTATGATAGACTAGCTTTAACTTTATATTATTAATTGTATAGTGTTTGCTTTCGGTGATAATGGTGGTATCCAATGCCCCTTTCTCTCTCTATAAAGAGAGCCTTCATCTCTTTGTAAATCACACAACATAATACAAACATTTCAGAGTCTCTCTCTCACTCTATAGCTTCTCTCACTCTCTCAAACTAATCTTTCAAATTTAAATAAAACATTTGCTATCAAGTTTTTGTAGAAGGGATAGTTGGTCTGTGGGTGTGAGGAATAACGAAATGAAGAAGATGGGAAATTTGTGGTATGAGAGAGGTGAGACTTATTAGTGATGGCTGGTGAGGAGGGTATACCTAATATAATTAATTAGCTTTCCAATGATGTTCCTAACTTCAGGTAGGGTAGTTTGGTAATTTTGCATTTTATAGTCACCTAAGAAGTATTTCAACATCACAAAACACAAGATCAGAGATTTGTCACCATTCAAAGTTCTTGATTGAGGTGTATTTTTTTATTTTTTTTAAAGCAAAAATAGCATTTTGTTAATAGAAGAAACCAACTATACACAATAGATTTCAGAAATTACAACAAAGTAAAGGTAAATGCACGCATACTGTTAGTTGGTTTTTATTGATTAATGCAAGATCTAATGAGATTACATAATCAAATGAGTTCGAGCTAAGTTGAATCACACATGAACTTGTTTGTGATCGCTTGCATCATTTTGTGGGAGGCTTCGACAATTCTCAAGAAAAGTTAGCATATCTCTTATTTGGATTGGATTATACTATTTCGTGCAAGCTAAATTACCTATTCATTTAAGTTATACATGACTTTATTAGCTTTACGAATGTAAGCAGCCAAGTCAAGCAAACTAGACATATAAGTAATAATATTAGAATGGCAATAATCACCTAGTGAAGTCAAGATAGTATAGTACGAATTAGGCAATGTGTCAACTTTCTCTCTTTCTTGAGGTAAGAGTGAGATTGTGAAAAATACCGCTCAATCTGTTAAAATCACATCAATTTGCGTCAATTTGGACTATTCTATCCGTAAACTGCTAATTGAATTTTAAATTTTATAATCCGCCTTCAAAACCGCTCCGCTATATTTAATACATATATATTTTTTAAAGTCTAATAAAATATCAAAGTAAAAATGAGTTTGAGAGATTTAAAATGTGAAATTTGTTACAAATTAGTAGTTATATATATAAAGAATATTATGTAAAGTTAGTTTGTATTATATATATAAAAAACATTATTCAAATTAGTAGGAGTATATATTATTCAAATGGTTGACAATTTGTTAAAATATTCTTCAATCTGTCCATCTGCCTAAAATTGCTCAAACCGTAATTTGTCAATTTGTCAATTCGCTAATCCGTTATTCAATTTATAATTTTACTCTCAAACTGCATGAACCGCACCGCGCACACCCGTAGGTAAGAGTCAAGTTTAAAATATGTATTCAAATTATAATAATAATTTTTTTAAAAAAAAAAACAAGGTTAATTAAGTTGTTGATTCCATGAGTAGGAAGTTTAAAGATAGGCTCCAGCATATAAAATGCAAAATTACCAAACTACCCTAACTGAAGTTAGAAACATCAATGGAAAGCTAATTAATTATATTATACATGTTCCATGGAGGGATATGTAGGTATACCCTCCTCACCAGTCATCACTAACCTAATTAATTATATTAAGTTGTTGATTCAAATGCTTACAATGAACTTTTTCTCTGTTTCCTCTCTCTCTCCCCCCTTATTATATGGTGCAAATGAGGTCTAAAATCATGAACGATCCCTTATGAATATTCAAGATATAATTTATGTGATTCATATACTTAGATATATATAACCTATGCCTTCGATTCATTTACATTGTTTTAGATATATGGATTAAACTAATTCATAATAACTAGAATTATTGTTCTAGGCCATGTGCCATGAATCATAAACTTAAGTGCATCAAGTCATCCAATTAATCTCTATATTGAAATATTTATGTTGTGTTTGGTTGGGGGATTTGGGGAGGGATTTGGAAAGGGAAAGGGAAAAGGTATGTGAAACTATGTGAAATATAGGCATGATTCATTCACATTTCACCTACCTTTTCCATTTCCCTTTCCAAATCTCTCTCCAAATCCCCCAACCAAACATAGCATTAAAGGATATATTTATCCTCCTATCAAACGACGGGATATATTCAATTGATTTGGTGTATCTTTCTGTAAGTTGAAAATTATAATACACAAATTTTTAAAATAAAAAATATTATAAACAGTCATCAAATTAGGACATTTTACTTCTATATTCATTCATCAAAGTTTTCAAATTCTAGACATCTTGGACTTAGAAATGATTAAAAAAAAATTGATTTAAATCATTTCCAAGAAATAAAAATAGAAAAAGCTTGAATTTTATTTCGAGAGCTTCCCTCTCCATAAATAATTATTCTTCCCAAAAATAGTAAAATAAAGGATAAGAATTGGGGGTAGATATTGATCGATGACCAGGTCAACTCGAAATAAATCTGTTCATAATTTATAATATTTAAGATTATATTTTAAGCTCGTAAAGCATATGCAGGAATGGATAATTTTTAAGGTCCATTTATATAATGCATATACATAACATACATGTTATATATATTTATATTTTATATTATTTAATTTTTTTTATTAGAGATGAAAATAACTTAAAAATAAATTAGTTAAAATACTTGTGCATTATCTTATTAAATAAAAAAAAACTATTAAATTACTAATATTATTTGCATTTAAGTTATGGCATAAACATATAATTAGTTAATAATATGACCAGAGTTGACAGTTTGGGAAGAAGGTTTTGAGCTAAAATAATTAATAAAGATAAAATAAATTAAAATAATAAATAAGATGAAATGTTATATCCAAATTATAATTATTTCATTTTTTCTCTCACAACTATCAAATTAATTACAAAAAATTCAACTAACTTTCTAAATATAACTTTTTTAATTAAATTAACAACTCCGATTGGTAGCTTGAAAAAGGGTTGGCTCGAATGGCCCGAGCCAAAAACGACGTTGTTTTGGATTCTTTTTTTTTTTGCTTTTCTTTCTCGTTTTACTGAAGATAAAGAAGATGAAGGTGAAGAAGAAGAACAAGAAGAAGAAGAGACAAGAAAGAGAGAGAATCAACACATCATCATCTTCAACAAACATCAACAGAGAGAGAGAGAGACATCAATACAGAGAAAGAGAATCAACATCTTCATTAACACATCATCATCATCAACAACAACATCTTCATCAACATCATCATCATCATCAACATCATCAATAACAACATATCATCATCATCAACAACAAGATCCAGATCCAAATCTACTAGAAAGGAAAAAAAAAAAAAAAGTAGAGAAAACAGAGGAGGCGATCGGCGATATCCACCGGCATCACCGTCGGTCTTCCTTCTCTTCCTCCTCCGCCATCACCACCACCGTCTCTTCTCTCTTCCTCTTCTCTCTCTCTTGCCTCTTCTCTTCTTTTCTCTTCTCTCTGTCTGTCTGTGTTTGAAAGCAAGAAAAAGAAAATAAATAAAAAATACAAAACGACGTCGTTTTGTATATTCGAGCCAATTTTCGAGCCACCGTTTTCGAGCAACGAAGTATTGACCAGAGTTGACATTTTGGGAAGAAGGTTTTGAGCTAAAATAATTAATAAAGACAAAATAAATTAAAATAATAAATAAGATGAAATGTTATATCCAAAATATAATTATTTTATTTTTTTTCTCACAACTATCAAATTAATTACAAAAAAAATTCAACTAATTTTCTAAATACAACTTTTTTAATTAAATTAAAGAGAAATGATCCAGACCCCAACACCCCACACATTTGTGAGAGAGAGAGAGGAGAGAGAGTGGAGGAAAAAAAAAGAAAAAAATATATATAATGTGTGACTACCAATCAAGAGCAAGGATCCTCTAGAGTTTTTTTTTCTTAAAGTTTCCTAGAGTGGTGTGTTGTATGGTTGAGATTTAATGACAAGTCACATCAATTTTTTAGCATTAAATCTCACCCATACAACACACCACTTTAGGAAACTTTAGGAAAAAAAACTCTAGAGGATCCTTGGTGACCAATCAATTGGGGGTTATGGGGGTCAAAAATAGTAAGAGTCTCAAGTATTTTCTTAAATTAAAATAATCAAAAAGTCCACTAAAATAACAACATAGTTTCTCCTTAAACGAGCTTGGATCTTAAACTAAGCCAGACTATTAGGCCCAACTGGGTTTGGAATACTAAATCGGGCCGGCCCACAAAAGTATAACTCATCCTCTGTCAACTCCTCGGTTAGGTACATCTTCTCGGGCCGGTTCGTCCAACGACCGTTTGGTAGTTACCAGTAATAATATGTACATTTATGTCATTTCACAAAAGTCAAAGGGTTTTATAGTACATCAAACTCTTCACATGGATTACGTGTCGCTCATTCAATCCGACACCTTCCCAGCTGCAAAATTTCCCTTTCCTCTAACAAGCAGAGAACCTACACTCCAACCATATATGTATGCAATCTGTAGATATCTAGAGAGAGAGAGAGAGATTCTTACAGAGCGCGACCTCGAATCTGAAGCATCAATTTCTGGTATAGAAAGAGAAAGAGAGAATTTTGAGCTTTTTGGAGAGAGAGAGAGAGAGAGAGAGTAGTGAAGTTGAAGAATGGAGAGTAGTAGTAGTAGTAGTAGTGGAATTGGTAGTGGTAATAGTGATATAATTGTTGTGAGAAGAGAGAGAATGAGAATAGAGAATCCATTTACTTTGAAGGTAGGTCAAGTATTTACAGGCTTTGGAATCGGCTGTGGTCTTGGTATCGGCGTTGGTCGCCCTTTAAATTTAGGTATTTTCTTCCCTCTACTCTCTCTCCCTTCTCTCTCTCTCTCTAAAAATTGTTGAGGAAGATGGATTTGGGAGGGTTCTTCAAACCCAAAGATGGAAACACCCATCAAAATTCTTCAGCTGCTAAATTGCCATGTACATTGTTTTCTCTCACTTCTTTATTATTTTACTGTCTAATTTGAGTTGAAATTGTGGTATCATTTTCATGTTGTTTGAATTGAATGTGTTGAAATTCATGTTAATTAATGTTTGCTCAGCTGTATTTAGGTGAATTTTCCTTACACTTCAACAATTAGCGTTGAAAAAGAACTACAACAACAATAACAATTAGCTTATATCACAATGGATTTGTTGACAAATAGGGTTCTGTCATTAGAGGATAGAAAGATGAGCTCTTGCCAAATTTTGGCATTGTTATAATTTGGCACGAAAAAATAGCACATGAATTGGAAGTGTTGTTGCCAATTTTTGGCTTTCGCATGAAACTGAAGCACACCATTAGAGTTGCTCTAACACGCAATTTCCATGTCATTTGAATCTTTAAAGCTGCTTTGCCACGTTCCTAAGCATTTTTTTTATTTTTTATTGTGGGGCATAGGTTATTCGAGAAAATGGAAGTCATTGCCGCCACCGTTGATAGTAATAAAGAGAATTGACATTTTATTTGTGGTGTTTCTTTTGATAAATGTGTATGCATGTGCACTAAATCTTAGCATGTTAATCAACAGATTTAAGCATCCATTTTATGAAGTTTTAATACATATCGGAATGTATTATCAAATATGTAAAACTATTATATGTATCTGTTTACATGTGGTATAATCATAATAAGTTGCAAGTCTTCCCATTTAATAACTTCTGCCGTGGGCAACTTATTTATGGCCTTAATTGGTTCCATATTAGTGTATCAGATTTATATTTTTGGGCCAAAACTTGAAAATTGAACTGCAAGTCCAGATGACATTTGGTTATATATGATTAGGGACAATGCAAATATTGAGAATACAGATATCCCAAAAATGTTGATTACAATGTACAATAATATATTAAAAGGTTTTTGAAAGCACTAACATATTGATGGGTAAATTGCAAATTTCACAGATATATCATTCCATAGTTACACAAAATAGTTAGTAGTAGTAACTACGTACCTGTAACTAAATTATTTGTACGAAAAATTAGATGTTCACCATTTTTTCGGATTTAATTTGTGTATTAGGTGCAATACCTGTAGTGAACCAAGTGATGGGTGCAACCAGAGGAGCAACAGATGCTTTTTCTGGTGTTGGCAGACATGTTAACGACTCTGTATGTTAATTATCTGTTTCCTTGCCTCTTATTTTGGAATCATTTGTTTTTGTTATTTTTCTCTTAACTATAACTTTCCATGAACCTTCTGTAATTTTTGTATTCTTTACTATTAGTTGAGGAAGTTGGGAGCAAAGAACATTGAAGCAGGCATTGGATGTGGAGTTGGTTTTGGACATGGTTTCGGAGTCGGTATGTATGAGGAAGAAATGTGCACTATTTGTGTTTTATGCATGATGTTGACGAACTGATATCTGGATATGTTCTTATATAGATTCCTAAAACTTCCCCATCAATTAAATTATACCCCCATTAGAGGGTGGTTCACTGCTGCACACTTGGGAGGCTACGTCCTACCTCCAAGTTTTTGTCTTGTAATGCACCAATGTTAGATGAATTTTACCTTGCATGTGGATTGTTATTAAGGGTATCACCTTACTTTGTTAATCATAAAATCAAGCTATTGGCCTCTCCCATTAACACCTTTTCCAATCCCTGTGGTTGGCCCTATTATTCTTATTTAGTGATTTCTATCTTGAATTCTTATTTAACCTTTTATGTCAATAAGTACTTCTGCCTTTTTGGTCTGCTGAAATATTCTCATGCAGTCAGGAACCTGTTAGAGTTTCAGTCACAAAATTTGTTTTGCTCAAGTTTGGTTCTTAGCTCACTATCTTAGCCACTAAAACTGTCAGATTGAGGCTAAGATTGTTGGGAAGTAGGCTATTGGAGAGATAAAAACAAACCAAATTTCAGTGCTTTTCTATTGCCACTTAAATCATGAGTGAGTAATAATCTGGTAATCCTTCTTGAAGCTGCAGTGTCACATAGGTAGTGTTTTGGTTCGTTGGAATGAAGTGGAATGGAATGATTATTCCATCAAGAATGTCTATTCTCAGATTTGGTTCATAAAAATAAAAAATCATGAAAAATACATTACAAATGGAATCATCATTCACCATTGTAAAGGAATGGTAAGGAATGACCATTCCATTATCATGCCACCTTCATTCTAGTGAACCAAACACTACCTTAATTCCATAGAACATATTTGCTTACTAGACTGGTGGTAAGAAAAAATAACATTCTCTATTTTTCCAGCTAAAAAAGTTGATGTTTGCATGGCAGGGCTTGCTGTGAAGCCTGGGGTGGTGAATCAAATTCAATCTTCTCTTGTAGTATGTATCGTTGTCTCAATCTATGGAAAACCTGCTACAGTCTTGTTTTTTAAGTATCTAAAACTGAACCTCCAAATTTGCTAGCAAGCAGTGACAAAGATGATGATGAAGTTTGGAATAGCTCCTAATTTATCCCTCGGTCGAGGCCTTATTCCACCATCTCTACAAAGTGGTATGATGCCCTCCAATCAAAGTCCAATTGGGAGTATCATGCAATTGGCAACAAAAGTACCCGACCAGACACCTCAAAGCTTGCCTACAGATGGAAACTTAATTTCAGGTGCTTCTTATGAAACTTTTGCATCAAAACAGCCTTCACCAGATACATCATATGGCAGTCGGACAGAGAAGGTCATCAGTGGTTTTCTGCAGAATCCAATTTTGAAAGATGAGGACAGCGGACAAAATAATATGGTATCTCACAAAGTTAATGTTTTTTTCAATCTGTCGCTTAGTTTTATTCAGTTCCTTAATCCTTATTTTCTCGATGTAATCATTTTTTGAGCTAATAATATTTTCTTTTTGCCGACAAATATAAAAAATATATAATATAAAAAAAAATATTTAAAAAAAAAACTACTTTTAAAAGTCTCTTTATTGTATTCATGCACTTCATAAAGGAGATCCGCATGTTTAGCAGTAGAAACATTTTTGAGTACACAGCCACCAGGTTAAATCATTTTGGTAAGTAGGATGCAGTTGATAGGTGTGACCATTGTAAAAAATAAACTGATGTATTATTGATTGATGTAGTGATTGTTACAAGATTGATATATATTCTGTATATTACAATTCCTATATATAGAGGAGAAGATGGTAGTGGAGTGTGTGATAGTGGAGGTGGATGGTAGTGGAGTGTGTGATAGTGGAGGTGGTAGGTGTGGAGAAAGATAGTGGAGGTAGTAGGTGAGTGGTAAATTCTAACAACCATCTAAATAAAATTCTGTTTAATTTTTGCAAGAAATGTATGAATCAAAATTTTGAAAGAGGGAATGTTCTGTAAGGGTTTTAGTTTTCAGAAGTGAAGAACCATGGTGTCTTGTCCAGTAATTCACATAAAGCCCTGGATGTTTGTCATATCCTCATTTGACAAACTCTCCTTGCAGAACTGCTGGCTAGCTTTAATATTATCTGAAAGTTGGAATTACTTTTGTTATGAGTATGTACCTTTGGATGTAAGAAACTGCTATATGAAAAATAGAATTAAGTGTGTCAGACATGGAAACTGCAAAACTGGATTTTCCTTATCCTACATTTAGCTGAGAGATTGGTAGTATTTTACTTCACAAAGTGCAGATATTAAATTATTTTAGGAATCAGCTAAATTGTAGTTTTTCTTGACTAGGATATTGTTATGTTCCTTAACCAAAACAAATATCTGAACCCGTTCAAATTAGCACCAGTTTTACCTCTTCATGAATGTGGTTATGCCAAAATAGTTCCCTTTGACAATATGATTTGGTCATTCAGAATTTTCTTATATTCATTTGTACAATTGTGCTGAAAATGCAGACCTGGATGCATGTGTCTAATGCAGAACCTAAAACAAGAAGGACCGAGGATATTTGCAACATCTCACCTGCTATGTGTTTTAGTTGTTCACTGTAGTATCACTTGCCATGGCATTACTACAAATAAAAATCTTTGAGGCTTGAAGTTATTTATTTCTTTTTGTGTATGTTTATCTGAATTGAGATTGTCACCTAAAGGAAGGAGAAATGAATATTTTTCTAATCCCTGGAATTCAACTTTGTAGGCTGGGCATCTGCGATCAGAAAACAACATTCTTCAGATGGTAATGTTTTACTTCTACTATTATTATTTCACCAATGTTTGAGCCAATTTCTTGAGAAGATATTAATTATCGTAGTGGCCTCAGCATTTTGCTAATTCTGTGGAAAAACTCCACGTTTCTAATCAGGAGAGAAGGGATATGCTAGACTCTCCTTGTACTGGAGTTTATTAATAGATTACAAATCGCTCATTGCATTTGTTTTAATTTTTTTTGCTCAGTTGCATTTGTTTTAGTTAATAAATCACTCAATATACAACCAGTTTTATGCATCTAGTCTTTGTTTGACCCTGTTTGTTTGCAACATCCAAGAGGAACTTTCTCAGCAATAAAATAAAAGCATTGAAAACGGTGAAATTTCCTGTGTATGCAGGTGTTGAAACACCAGCAAGTGATCGAGGAGCTTATGAAGGAAAATGAGAAGCTTCGCAAGATATTGGTGGAAGACCTGAAAATTCCACCCAGCAAGCTCCAAGGCAGCTACTCAAGTAATAGATCATCATGTGCTGATTGTTTGGAGTGCCGTAGAAAACAAAGAAAAAAATAAATCAAAACAAATATAGTACCTAAACACATGCACGTTTTTAGTGCTCGACTACAAAAATCTTACCTCATGCTCCTTTTTTACTTGGGTTTGGACTTTTGTTCTGCAACCCAACTTTGAAGAATCATAATTTGAGGCACCATACTAGGAACATAGATTACTATTAATTCAAATAATTTGTTAAACAAAAGAAGTGTTTGTGCTATAATCAGTTGAGAGATTACTAAAATAGGTCCATGAGATATATACCTTTTAGTTTAGGGCTACTTTTCCTTTCTTTTCTTTCTCCCCCCGTCACCTTGCATTTTGAGTTGTCTATTACTCTTTTCTGTTGGATTGATTGTTTAAATTCTGCCTTCTCAACCCTGATTTGACTAAGAACCAAACCCATTTAAGATAGTTCTTCATCTAAATGGTTAGGCCTCCATAATCCAGGCCATAAATTTGTTGGACCTTCGGTGTAGTGTTCATAATCTCGACCTTCTTTAAATTTTTAGCATGTTCTCTTTTGGGATTGGTTAGAATTATTTATTTGTTTTGGTTTTTGAGGGGATTGTAGAGAACTATACAAGAATTGAAGTAATAAATATGTTGGGCAATTTGTGAGCTCGCCTATGTCATTGATCTGGCACTATCATATGTGATTTATTTTCTTTTTGAGATGTAAAAAATGTTCAATACATATTTTCTTTCCATTGAATGGCAAGTAATTTAGGGTACCTTTTTCAATAGTAATATCAGTTTAGGTTAATTTATAACAAAATTTCAGATAAACAAAAGTCTTTTCTAGGATGGTGAATTCTATAAGACAGCTTTTGTCAGGCATTTGATAGGAACAGGCAAAGATAGAAAAGGGGGATTGATGACTCTGATTTGGTCTTTAAAATGGAATCCAATGCTTTTCATGAGAAGGCAACCTCATTTTAGGGTCTAGATCCCTTATGTCTCTTACAAGAATGAGAGACTATCAGATAAATAAGAAATAGATAAAGTAATTGCAAATTTCAAAATTTAATTTTCATTTGCACCGAATTTAGTATGTAATTATTTTTTTGATTTTCATTTATCTGATATTTGTCCTACAAGAACTGTTATATGCAATTGATGTGTGCAGGCAAAATATAATGCCATGTTAGGTTGATTGGTATAGGGTATGTTGAATGATTGTGCACAACATCATGACTATTGTGCCTATACTCATTAATGTTGTAAAGTCAGCATTTTCGACTATGTTAAGATATCAATGCTAACAATCAATATGGGTGGTTGTCCATTTTGGTGTACCACGATGAAGCTTCTTAGGCGGTCTTGGAAAATGGTTTTGAGATCATTGTCATGTCTCAATATATGACTGGACTCTTTTTTCTCTTTTCTTTTCCCTTTTTTTCCCCTTTTTTTTTTTTTTTTTTGGTTGATAATCGATTATTCGGTCAGCTTGAGCACACCTCAACTAAACTCAGAACATTGAATTAATGACCAAGCAAACTTCTAGTGATCTCTTAGGATAACTTGAACTAGGAACCTTAGATTTTATCCTCAACTGGTCACATTGAGTGATACTAAAATTATTAGTAAATAAATTCTAAGGGATTGGCTTAGTAAGTAGAACTTGGGGTCTAAGGGTGTGTTTCCTTTAGGTTTCAGGTTTAACTCCCATTGAGGAGTAATCCGCTCTTGGGTTCACACTCGCAAACTCTATTTGAGATTTGCTCGATTCACATGGAAGGGGCATTTTGTGTGGGTCTCGAGATTAATTGAGCTATGCATAAGCTGGTCTGAACACTCAGTTCTCAATATATATATATATTAATAAAAAAAAAAATGATATTTGTGTAGAATGTTTATATCTAATTTTTGACAAAAATGATGTGGTATTGATATTTTTTTAAATATAAATCACATTGACAATTATTCTATTTTAAAATAACAAAATCATGATTGGTTATATAATTTTATATTAATTTATGTTCTTTCTTTTCTTCTTTTTCTTTTTTGTATCACTATTCTTAACAAATATATTTCACATTGTATTTAGTTGGCATTTGTATTGATACGCTTGCTAATGTTTCTAATATTACTTTTGTAACAGTGTTACATGTACAGAAATTTTTAAATACAAAATGCATAAATTTGAGATTAAAAAAAAATATTCACATAATTATAAATAGATTCAAACATATTATGTTACATTTATATATTGTGTGTTTGAACTCTTTACCTCTCATATGTGGGGCTTAACAAATCATGTGCACTTCACTATGTTGCTAGCCCCACCATCAACCATACTCTTCATACCCCTTAGGCTTCCACCACTAAATGCCCATTCTCCTTTAATCCCTTTTCCTCGCATCACACACTCAAAAAGAGAGTCCAAGGACACACCTCCCAACTTCCAAAAAGCAGACTCACACTTTCCCTTTCTTTTTCTTTTTCTTTTTTTTCTTTTTCTTTTTCTTTTTCTTTTTTTTTTTTTTTTCCTACACGTATATAATTCTAGCTAGCACCTAATTTTTTTTCTTCTCCATCCCATTCCCACCAACAATTGCTCCTTTCATCACTCCTCCATCTAACACCCTTAAGTGCCAACTACCCTAAGCAATAGGAAAAGGTCTATTTTTATGAAACTTTTATTAGAATATTTAAAGTAATTTTTTTTTCTCATATCTTTTCTAACTAAATCTAGAAATAAACTTATATATCATTTTCATTTTTATACAAAAATATTTGGCAAGAATGATAAAACAATTTTATTTTTAAAATTTGTTAAGTCATTTTGATGGACTTTTCACCTTAAAATAATAAAATTAACACTTGTTATATATATATATATATATTTACCTAGCATTACTCTTGGGAAGGGACCTATGCAACTGTTTTTGTTCAGTTGCAATTTTGATTGGAGCTCAAAATGACTTCTATCAAAATATTACTTCAGAAAGCATATTGCAGTTGCATTTATAGCGAGTCCATAGAAAGCTAGCAACATGGATTTTCTCGTGAGCCAAGCAATGTAAGGTTTTGAACCCACAATAAGTGTAAGCAACAATATTAGATGCATAGAATTAGAATATGGAAAATATATTGTGTGGTTGATATTTATTTTAAATATGACCTATATCGCATTCAAGATGGATTTCAATCGCATAATGTATTTTTTGTATTTTAATTATGTGCAACTAACATTACTAAAGTTTTAGAGATTAAAATTGAACATCAAAACAACCTATAATAATTTTCTTTTCTTTTCTTTTTCCTTCTCTTCAATTAAAGGAATGGATTTTTGTTGGCCAAGCAAAAAGCTCATACATGAAATTATATGACAAAGAAATTATTATCAATCATAAAATTGACACTACAAACACAAGAAGAATTGCAAAGTCTTTCTTATTCATCTAAAAGTCAAAATGCTACAAAAAGGGCTGTAACATCCGATAAATCTCGAAACCATCCTCATCCCCCTTCTCACAAATCACAAATACAACTCCAAATATCAGTCAAGGATCTTCTGTCCCCAAACACTTTTATTTTTCCGTCTCAGAAAACTCAAAATTATTAAATTATGTGAAATTCTCTAGACTTGAAAATCTTGAAATATAAACAGCTGCAAGAGTTTTAGGATGGGAATTGAGGGATTTAGGATAGAGGACCTTGCATACAAAGAAAATGAACATGGAGGGAAAGAAAACCAGAAAATAAAAAGAATACACAAATAAATATCAGTTTTAAATCAATGATCACCAGTTGATTAAACAAGGAGTGCAACCCCTCCAAACAATGCTAACATGGCCATGTTGCATCGATGCATGAAAGCTCCTGAGCCCGGGGTGGAGGTGGCTGGTGTGATGGCCGGTGTGTTTGCAATAGAAGAAGGCGATCCCCTGCTGCCAGGTGCAAGTGGAGAGGTTGGCGCGGTGGGTGGAGTGGTTGGGGCGGTGGGAGCCGGTGGTGAGCTCGTGGTAGGGCTAGGGTTCATGGTTGGAGGGGAAGACATTGGAGGAGACATCATTGGTGGTGGGACACTTGGGGGAGGAGCCATCATTGGTGGTGGTGATGCTGCCATGGGCGGTGGGCTTGCAACCATGGTGGGTGGTGCTGCCATGGTAGTGGGAGAAGAAGCTGGAGATTGAGCCATGGACAAAGCCACAATATTAGCAAGCAACATGGTTAGCATGAGGATGGCATGTTTTACAGCCATGACTCTTGTGAGTATGATGAAGAGAGGTAGTATAGATGTTGTTTTGTGAGGAATTGGAGAGAGTGAGGTTAAGGTCTGATATATAGAGGAGATGATAGTTTCGAGAATTATGCCTCTATTCTTACATAAGAATGCATTGAATTCTCATGGAATCAAATGCAAACGTGCCACGTGTAAGAAGAAAATTGGCAAGATAGTGGCTGAGCACTCTATTTTGTTAAGGTTGGTTGGTAAGTTGACACCATTGTCTGCCACACTAATTAAGAAGTGGTTTGGCATAAATTTTATAATTAGCTTCCCTCGAGTCCACTAATTGGACTGGATGAGTTGTGAGCCATTCCGAGCTCACTTTGGTGATTTCTAAGGGCTCATCTTTTAATGGTTTCTAAGTAAATTATTCAAACAAAAAATTAATTTGATCAAACATCCACTAAGGAATGTGTAACAACTTCTCTATCGAATCAACTAGCCTCAAAAATGGATGTCGCTTCGACAGGATCCGGACACGACGGGACTCTCACCCTCTCCGGCGCCCCTTTTCAAGGGACTTGGGCTTGGTCCGCTGAGGACGCTTCTCCAGACTCCAATTCAAATAACGGGATTGCTCAATTTTCAAGTTGGGCACTTTCCAGTTCACTTAGCGTTTTTAGGTGAATCTTTGTAAGTTTTTTTTCCTTCGATAATCATATAATTGAATCACAATTATTTTCAAATATATATATATGCAGAATAGACGTTTACATATAATTTTAAAAATAGATTGACTATTTTTTAAAACAAATATGATGTAATTTGTCCAAGGAGTACAAAAACTTGAATGTCTCTAAGCTTTTTTTAAAACAAATATGATGTAATTTGTCCAAGGAGTACAAAAACTTGAATGTCTCTAAGCTTATTGTAGGAGCAAATTCACAAATGAAAATTTATTTTATTTTATTTTTTTGGTTATAAATATGGGGTGATTTGCCACCAAGGATCCTCTAGAGTGAAATTTCCCTAAAGTTTCCTAGAGTGTTACATTATGTGGTTGAGATTTACTGGCAAGTCAAATCAATTTTTCTGATGTGACTTGCCAGTAAATCTTAACCACACAATGTAGCACTCTAGGAAACTTTAGGAAAAAATCACTCTAGAGGATCCTTGCTCGTGATTTGCGTGTCTTTTGCTTTTTGGAATTGACTTTTGTAAAATTTGAAGTCATGGGAAGCGAAGAGAGGACTTTTTTTTTTTTTCCTTTGCGCGTTTTGCGTTGTGCTAATTGGTGGTCCAACACATAAACACACACCCCATCCAACTTTCTTGCCTCCACGTACACACACTTACTCTCTCTCTCCCTCTCTCGATAAGTTGCTATTTAGTCGTCTAACAATATTGCTATTTAGAAATGTTATCAAATGTTCTTGCATGTACACACCCAAAAAAATACAAAAACTTCAATATTGTGACAGATCCAAACATCACCTTAGGAATCTTATACCAAAGTAAGCGTTTTATTACCCAAAGGCTCACAACCTTACAAAAAGACAACACAAAACGAACATCACTTGGAGAATAACTACTCATAAGTCCAAGGTTAATCCAACTAAATAAAAAATAAGAACATCATCTTGCAATATAACCAAAGACGCAAAACCAAAAATTAAATTAGCTCCATCTCGTTGTTCTAGCAAGCTTGCCAATCTTTTTCTTGAGTTTCTTTCGATTTTCATTTCTAGAACAATATACTACCAAATCTTTTTCTCGAGTTTCTTTCGATTTTCATTTCTAGAAGGATCTACCAACCATGTTGATAGCAATGGGAACCTAACCATACATTTTACAAAGAGCCCCACCTAGCTTGCAAAAATGTTACAGTCACTCTCTCTGTTCCTCTGGTGCTAAGGAGTGCCAACTGGCGGCATTTAGCAAAAAGCAGGTACAAAATAAGGCTGCCCAGCACTTGGGGAAGACTGAAGGGTCACCCTATTTGATTTTCTATGGTCAATCTTGCCCCCACACCCCCGAGATCATCTGTTGTGAAATTGGAAAATTCACTGCACCTATCAGAGTATTATAGTCCTTTTGGCTTTCCATATCTATTTTACATCCTTGTTTGTGCCAACCTTAGCCCCTCTTGGGGTTGCCAACTGTTGCAAGGATAAGAAAAGGATAGTACTCTGTAGTAATGCCCTAACCCTGACAGACTCCCTCCATATTCACTGACCAGTCTCTTTCAGTCTCATATATTACAAGTTATGTGTGTGTGTGTGTGTGTGAATTGTGTGTATAATTGGTGTAAAATGTTTTTTTCTGTTGAGACTTTGCACAGAGTGAGTTTCCCAAATAATGTGTGAACATCAAATATGATTCGAAATTTGGAGCTTTGTAGGCTTTTGTTTCTCATATCTTCATCTTGCATAATTGAAGTCTTTAGTTTCTTTCGATTTGTTTCTCTCATTGTACGATTTGGAGGACTTCTCAAGTTTTCTATTTGGGTATACTAGAAGACTCCACAACTAATGTTCAACTTTTTCTATCCTAATACAATGTAGGAAAATGATAATTTTCTAAAATTTTCATACAAAACCCTTCACCAAAATGATGTGTCAATGGCAATTTTAATACTACGAAGCATTTTAAGGGATTTTTGTTTTAAAGTGACAGGCACACTTCAATATGTATTCTATGTATGCATTTTCTATTTATTTGTGTCAATGGCAATTTTAATACTACAAAACATTTTGAGGGATTTTTGTTTTAAAATGACGGGCACACTTCGATATGTATTCTATGTGTACATTTTCTATTTATATATCATTATATATTCTATAATGTAACATTCGAATGATTGGAGAAGCCAATTCTGAGTTGGAAAAAATAAGAATTGCTTTCTATGCCAAAAGATCTCATAATAGAGATTGATGGTAAGTTGTTGACTTTGGAGATTTCGAAGGGGACATACATGTCTGGTGCCTTTTCAATAATAATTAGATCCATGTTTTGGAAAGGTATCACCATGTTCACAGGCCATTCTTTTGGAACTTTTTTTTGTGCCGGGGGGGGGGGGAGGTATTCTTTTGGAACTTATTGTTCATATATAACCTCTAATCTGACTTGCAGCCAACACAGTTCACAGATTTGCAAACAAGCACCAAAGCAAGCAGAAAAATCACGAGGAGAACATTTTGAACTCACACAATTATCATGATTATTAGGCATAGCCCACTAACTTCTCTAAAATACAAATTAGCTTATCAAGATATCAAATCTCATCTTTGTCCAGGTCTCAGCAGTAGTTCTCTGCACAACTCAAATTGGTTCTCAATAGTCCAGACTCGAGACAAGGTAAAATGTGTTTGAAAAGTCCAAAAAATCCAATCCAAAAAATTCTACGTATTGCTTATCAGCTTATATTACAGAACAGCAAACAACAAAGGTTTCACTATAAGCAGCATCTGAGGATATCAAGATTTCACAAATACAAAAGGTTCTATAGGTTACTACAGACAATTAACTAACCACTTTTGTGTTTACCATTTGGTCTTGTTTTCTGAATACCACTATACTTCATGAGGCCATTCCTGATATCACCTCTGATCACTTAGAAGGGGTTGAGATGCTGGAGCTGCAATTAAGAAGATTTTCCAGGTAAGCCCAAAACAAAGCAATGATAAACAAAGGTAAGGATCTGAGTCGCTGCTAAAAAAAATTCAATTTTCAATTAAGTACAGATAAAAATTACAATTATAAAATCTATAAATGGCATCAAAAAAAAAAAAAAAAAAACAGTAGTTTAGAACTCTATTACATGCACACATACACATAAGACCATGTTGTCACATCCCTGCTGAATTCTCCAATATATCCAAATGGGAGCTTGGAAGAATGGGAGCCAACGGAAGAATTAGAACTTAGCAAACTCTAGCAAAAATAAGACTATGGAGAATTCTAGAAAGCCCTAGAGAATTCAAATACATACACACTTGTACATATAACTAGACTTGTAGATATTTGTATAGATATTTCTAAAAGGCATTCTAGAATGTTCTTGTAACTTGTAAGAAGACTTCTACATACCATAAGAGCCTATAAATAGGAGAGCGACTCATTTGCTCCAATCCATCCAAGAGTTGTACAAGTTCCTCTAAAGTGAATACAAAGACATTCTCTCAAACTCTCTTTGTTTTCTTACTTGTCTTTCTTGCAAACTTATGAGTTAGGTTGACTTAGTATCACCAAGTAAGACTTGTGATTGTCTAAATACTGCACGGATAGCTTGAAAATAATAAGGCCGTGACAATGTGCTAACAAAAAAGAACACAGTTGTGATAACTAAGTGTTAAAATTGATGTATTATTGATTGATGTATGTTATATATTACAAATGGTGAGGGGCTCCTTATATAGGAGATGTAGTGGAGTAGGTGGTAGTAGGTGGTAGTGGTAGGTGTGTAGTAGGTGGTAGTAGGTGGTGGTAGGTGTAGTAGGTGGAGTAGGTGATGGTAGGTTTTAACAGCCCCCCGCAAACTCAAGGGGGATAGGAACTAACCAACTTGAGTTTGGAGAGAGTAACAAAATAAGAAAATACATAAAAATAAAAGAGGATAGGAGACACTGTATGGTCGTGTCAGACCGATGGTGAAGACACTGTATGGTGGTGTCATAACGTTGTAGAGGACACTTGATGATTGTGTCAGACCGATGTAGAAGACAGTTTATGGGGTCATGTCGGACCGTTGTAGCAGACAATGTTGTGACAGTTGTTGTGACAGTTTACGGAGTCTTGCTGGACCCTTATAGAAACTAACCGGAATCAACGTCGGGACAGTTTACAGAGTCTTGTCGGACCCATAAAGGAGCTAACCGGAATCAATGTCGGGACAGTTTACAGAGTCTTGTCAGACCCATAAAGGAGCTAACCGGAATCAATGTCGAGACAGTTTACAGAGTCTTGTCGGACCCATAAAAAAATCGCATCCTCAAAAGGTGCGCTCAATTTTTCAAAAGGCGTGCCATCAAAAGGCGTGCCATCAAAAGACGGGCCATCAAAAGGCGCGCCCATGTTGTCTGATGTATTATTGATTGATGTATGTTATATATTACCAATGGTGAGGGGCTCCTTATATAGGAGATGTAGTGGAGTAGGTGGTAGTAGGTGGTAGGTGGTAGTGGTAGGTGTGTAGTAGGTGGTAGTAGGTGGTGGTAGGTGTAGTAGGTGGAGTAGGTGATGGTAGGTTTTAACACTAAGACATTCACAGTTAAACTTAACAAACATGCAATTGTGAAAACCCCTTGGCCCTCTGCCCTAAGAAAAATTGATGTTCCCCAAATAGTTGCAAGCTTTACCCATATTTGACAATCAATAAACTGGTGCAATTTTTAGGAAACCCCTCAAACTACACTCATCTCATCCACAAGATAAACCTTCCACAAGTAATGCGGTAAAACTCGAAAAAATAGACAAATAACCAAAATGGAAGGCCCAAAGATTACCTGATATATTCATAATCATAGTTATATGTATGCATGAAAATACACCCTCCAAATGAATAAATATTAAATATATTGCATGTAAATTTCTAGGTCTTCCCTTCAGCATAATCCATAGAGACTGGCAGGCTACTTAGAATTTTTTTTTTTCCTTTTGTTTTTATTAATATTGGCTATGAAATTACAAGTGCAGACTAAAAATCCTATTCCCATATATATTGTCGTGTTTTGAGTTTACATGTCCAAGGCACTTGAGTTATCATATAACAAGCCCATAAACAAAAATTAAGACTCGCCATAGATTTGATCCAACACAATTATTTCACTTATAACTCCCCCAACTCTAACACCCCACTTGCAAAAGAATACAAAACCAACCAAGTTACTTTTCACTGATATTATTCACAGTGCCCAAAACAGCACATAAAACCTTTTGTTTTCATTCTCCAAATCCTACACTTTTGTTACCCTAACACAAAGCTATGAAACCCTATATTTTTACCATCTTTTCAACCACAAAATCAATTAAAACCATCTCCATAGCCTAGGTTCCCTGCTGCCGTACATTGAGTTTGGGTTCCTATGAGAATCTTCACCTACTTGCCATACATCACAGAGCTTTACAACTTCATTTTGAAGGTATCATATATACACCTTCATTCTATGAGCATCAAATGGACTAATCAACTACTGTGGCATTGTACAAAACAGATCTTCAGTGATGGGTCTTTTATAGTAGGTAAATATAAATAAATAAATAATACAGATGCATGCATGCCCCTTTGCTTATGTTGTATTTTTACCTTAAAATGAAAAGAAACTAAAGCATGTGCTTAAAAAAAATACTAGAACCACATTACCTCCAGGAGTGTGCTGCCCACTGGTTAAAGATTTATGTTTGCTATTTCTTTCGGTAAGTTCAATTATGACCAAACGAGATAAAAGAAGACCAGCAATAAAAGCACAAACCATTAGCATCACAAACACTGCATCCCATCCCTTCGTGGAAAGGAATCCAGTAAGAAGAGGGCCAAGAGCTGCACCAACCGATCCAGTACCATCAATAATGGCAGTGACTGTTGCCAATGCTCGAGCATCCCCTCTGAGAGAGCTGTGTGTACCAAGATCTGCAGAGACTGCAGTAGTGATAAGAGCATAGGGTCCATTTACGAACAAACCAGCAATCATCATAAGTACAATATTAAGCGTCTTTGAAATATTCCCATATGTGCGGTATAGAATCATTGCAGGGATTGCCGCATACAAGAAGCTGGCTGCAGTGGTTGCCCGAGCTTTGAGTTTATCAGATATGTAGCCAGCTAAAATCCCGCCAAAAATACCCCCAACATCAAAAAGAGTAGAAAGATTTCCAGCTGATTTTACAGATACATATTCTCCACCAATTTCTGTAAAATCATGAATGTAAACAAGATGAGAAACTTGAAACAAATTATATTGAAAACATTGAGGAATCTTTAATGCAGAATAGATTCCTGTGACATCATCCAATCAAGTAAGGATTTATGACAGCAGCAGAACTTGACCATATGAAGCTTGGTACAAAAAAACAAAATCTCAAATTTTGGATGAACACATGTAATACCAAATGTTACTTGCTTGGGCATGACAGCTCATGCTCATCTTAATAGCCTTGTACGATTGCATGACATGACATGCACAATAATTCTGAAATATTCAGGCATCAATTACAGAATGTAATGCATTTGTCTTCATAGAAATTCTCTCAAGAGTATTATTTTGGTGAATTGGAAATTTTCTTAGGCCTACGGACTGCACTTCTTATTCTGTGGATTGACTTCAAATTTTCGACAAATAAGAAGAAAGTACTAAACATCCCTTCAGAAAAAATAAATAAATAAATAAATCCATAAAACCCACCAAAACAGTTGTAGATCCAAAAAATAAACCAGAAATTGCTTTTTTACTCAGGTCTTTTTGCACTCCTAGTGCAATTACATAAACCTTAGCTTTACTCTAAGTAATTCTGAGTTCTGACAAGTCCTTAGGTGAAAAATTAAGGAAGCAATATGATATTCTGGCTCCACAGACATGGCCACGTGGAAATGATCATATTCTTTCTACACGTCAACAAAAATGGATTCCCCAATCACTTCATCATCTACATATATCCAACACAGATTTAAAATCCAGAGAACATCATGCCAAATACAAACCCCATAATTCTGAACCAAAAAGTCCAAGTTAAAAAAAAGATATGGATGAACCTTATTTTGTTTGCCATCCTTCTTTTGTCTTTCTTTCTTTTCTAGACTCTTTCAACAAAGATTATTTTATTAATCTGGAGAGAGAGAGAGAGAGAGAGAGAGAGAATTTTTAATATCAAGCCAAAAAATTGTCTTATTTGCCAACTTGACTAGTATTATAGGGCCATGAACATTGAATCCCATATAATTCACTGCAAAAACATTTGTAATAACATCAAGCAAAACATTAATTCAAAAGTACTGCTCAAATGCACAAACCTCGACATTTGATTAGAAGACAAATTGTGTATCTTTGCTTATCTAATAAACGAAGATAATTAAGCTTCAGCCAAGCAGTTTCTCTTGGGCTAAGAAACACAAAAAGAGCAGCACGCATAATGCAAAATTCAGACCTATACATTTTCTCATGCCATCATATTGTCAATTATATACATCATGATAACAACCAACCAATTGCAATTTCTTTTAGCTTGACCCTTTTCCGACCAAAATCAAGATAGCAAATACGATCAACTAAAATTTGAAGCTACATAAAAAAAACAGGTTGAAAGCGCTAATGCAAAAGTTATTAAATTTGTATAACCTGTTATTCAGATTGTCTTTTCATCAATTAACTAATGGCAAAAGGGGTTGGATAGCTCGAAATTACCTGTTTGACTTAGATAAAATGGTAACCAATACAAAAATGTGTAGGCCACAAGCTTTGCAAAGAAGAGGCACAACGCAAAGGGTATCACTCCTGGTATTAGGCAAGCTTCAAGAAGCCCGACACTTTTCCTATTCATTGATGCCAACCGAGGAACAGTGTTCTTTTCAGCTTCCACCAAGTCTCCTTTTCTAATCAGAGCTTCTTCATCATCTGGCACTGTCTCTGCATTTGCAGCCAAACCATGTGGGCAAGGAAACCCAACATCCTCAGGATAAGCAGCCAATAACAGGTACACAAGTATCCCTCCCAAAAAGATAAAAGCACCTGGAAGTATAAAAGACCAGCCCCAACCATAGTCCAGAACACTAGCAGCAAGAAGCGAGCCACTAATATTCCCCACAGATGTATGAGCATTCCAAACACCCATTATCAAACCTCTCTTCCTCTTTCCAAACCAATTACCTATAACAGCAACAACCGATGGCCAACCTGTGGCCTGAAACAACCCAGCCACCATTTGCATGACCAAATAAAATGAGAACGCATGAACATTCCAAAAATAACCCATTCCAAAAAGCCCAACAAAAATACCACTCCCAATCATCCCAGTACTTAAAAACAAGCGGAGATCCAACGTATCCCCCAGATGCCCAGCAACATACATCCCTAGCGAGTAACACGCAAGAAATGCAACATCAATCTCTCCCAATTTTGAGGTCCCGTCCGTTCCATTGAATGGTGCCCAACCACCATTTCTCAATCTATTCATTTCAATACCCACCATTTCCCTCTTAACAAAGAATTCACCCATTGGCCAGGGATGTGCCCCATTAACCTTCTTAGGGTCAGGATCCAAAACACTCTTGACAATGCTACTGGGTTTTCTAGAAGCATGGTAACAAGTATATGCTATAAAAGTAACCAACAAAACAACATATCTATAGGTTGTTAGACTCCACTCCTTGCCTCTAATTCTTCTTATAAGCGAAATTCCAGGTGGAGTCCCCCTCATTGCATCAAAAACCCGAGGCATCATCAATCAAATCCTAATAAACAATATCGTTTTTTTTTCCTTTCTTTTTCTTTCAACAATGACAGACAAGATTCATATCAGTCATCAAAATTGAAATTCAAGCACTTCATAATTAACATAATTGAACAATTTCAAGATCTCAAATTATAAACATTTACCGGTTCAGGTAATCAAAATTACATATCTTGAGCCCCCAAGACTCGAATTATTGGCCTTCTACAACTGTGGAGGATTGGGATTAGCGAAGAACCCGTCTGGGTTGGATGATTTAGTTGAATTTGTCATAATGAGCGCTAGGGTTTGGACAAGAAGGCGAGTGTGATCGATCGAGCGACCCGAGCGATGTAGAAAGGTCTCAGCTTCTGGAGAGAAAGGAAGAGTAGGTTTGGAGAGCGAGAGAGAGAGTTTAGCTCTGATAAACAAGACAAGAAAGAAGTCTAGGGAGGCACAGAGAGAGAGAGAGAGAGAGGAGAGGGCGAGAGAGGTTGGCGGGAGAGGAAAGTGGTGAGATAAAAAGAAGGGAGGAAGATGAACGTGGCAGCGTGCGAATATTTTGAAATGGTTGCGTCCCTGTGCTTAGGCGCCACGCTATTAACTGTATTTATTGCAACCGTACCCCCATCCCACCGGCAATTTTTTGCATCCTAGTCCACCCTCGGGATTGTTCTTTTCTTTTGTTTTTATTTTCATTTTTTTAAATTTATTATTATTATTATTATTATATAATTTAATAAAATATGTTAATTTCCTTATACACGGATAAACTATTTCATTTATAATTCTGTTAATAAAATTTTGGTTTGAGGCAGACCAATTAAAATTAGAGTGAGGAGTAGATAAATCAATCCGTCTAAACTTATCGAATCAAACTGATTCATCACATTTTAGATGGATGTGTAATGATGAGCAGATAGTTGTGGATTGATTTTTTTCAATCCATCTAGTTTTGGGCGGATAACGAATTTGAGGTTCATTTGGCCGTAACCGAACCACCAAACCGCAAATATCCCTAGTAATTTGTAAGATTTTGTATTTTCAATTGAAAAAAAATAAAATATTCTGTTAAAAAAAATTTTTCAACTTGAATATATTTTTTAAATTAAAAAAATAAATATATTATTTATCTATATTTTTTAGTTTTTAAATCTTACTCTAAAAATAATAAATAAATAAAATGATATATGCTGGTTGATTTTTATTTTCAAAAATAGATATAGATGTAACAATACAGAGTCATACAATCTCTACTACTGCTCTATTCATGATTTTGGTGGTTTGAATTGTTTGTAATACTTTATATGGATGAGGCATACTATGATTGTAATATGTCGATGAGACATGCAGTGCCTTTAAAGTTTCAAACTTTCGTCCTTTGAATGAGGCATACAGTGATTGTGATACTTTTTTAAGTCATTGATTGTAATACAATTTTTTTTTTTGAAGAAGTACATAAGTTGAATTATGTTGAAAATTTATAAAATTTTAAACCACCACACCGACTCGCATCTATTCGTCAATCCACCAATCCGCTCAATCCATATCCACCAGATTGGCAGACGAATGTGGATTGATTTTCTCCAATCCGCCAATCTAGCGAACGAATGGTGGATTGGAGGTTCCATAGCCACAATCGACCCACGTCCACCCCTAATTGAAATCAATCGGCCGAAAATTGCAAATTTTGCACAAAATAGTAAAAGATCAAGTAATGTAATAAGGGTTTGTTTGGGATGTTAGTTGGCTTTTTTACTATTTTGGGGATATGATTGAGACCCCCTCAAGCTCTCCACCCCCACCACTCCCACACACACGTGGGGGTTGGTGATAGGGGGAGAAGAAAAATAAAATAAAATAAAATAAAAAATTGACCAATCAAAGGCAAAGGGGGTCCGGATCTTTTTGTTGGAAATGGTTATAAATTCTGGGTAAAACCAGAATTTTTTCCTAAGGTCGGTCTATTTTTTAGGTGGGCCCCGAGTGTCGATTTACTCGGGTCAAAGTGGTAACGCGTTCTATGCCGCGTTGTGATTCACGTGGTATATTTGGTTGCTCAAAACCATTACCGAGTGAATGGGAAATTGAAGCCAAAGTATGCTCCACGGAAATGAGCATTTTAGCCCAAACACTCATCTCAAACGTGGCCTAAGTTCTATGCCTTATCAGATTTCAAAAAACTTTTTTAGGGTGAATCGATTGAAATAAATAAACATCAACTGAAATTGTCACTTGTTATAAGCATAAAAGCATAAAAACAAGAAACAAGGAACCAATTGCTAAACTAAGTTACAACAAATACTACTCCCAAACAACTAATTGCTACTCCTATTTTTCAAGAAGGCTGTGAATGGGTTTGATGATGTCCTCTCCTTCGATCTCCTTGTTTTGTTCCTTCACTTGGCCAGAGTTGTTGCAGCCACACATACCTTCTTAATCTCTACAAGTGCTCTCCTTTCATTGCTTTGACCAATTGCGCATTTATTTTAACTATCTGCAACTACCTCTTCGTCACACACTGTCCCATTTAATGCAATTTTGCACCAAGACACATGTCCACTTTACCCTATAGTATTCTTGGACCATCAACAAGTCCTATTAGCCATGTCATCAGGCCAAGTTACATAAATTTTTATAAAATAATACTTGTAAGTATTATAACAATTTATCGTATTTATATCAGAACCAAAGTTAGCGAGAAAAGTTGAGTACTTACCTACTGAACCAATCACTTATGTTGTGTTTGGTTAAGGGATTTGGAAAGAGAAATGGAAATGGTAGATGAAATGTGAATAAAACATATATATATTTCACCTAGTTTTATACACCTTTTTTCTTTCCCTTTCCAAATCCCTCCCTAAATTCTCAAACCAAACACAGCGTTAGTGGTGCGAAGCTATTAATGTGGGAACCCAATCCTACACACTTAGCACTCAACTTGAACCAAACTTGGGGATACCCATAGGGAAAAAAGGATACAAAGTAGGTACTAAATAAGTTGAGTAGTATGTTTATGTTTGTTTCAAAAAATTTATGAATTTTAAGCTCTGCCTTGAGAGAAAACCATGACAACAGTCACCTTAGGCTCCTAAATTTGAGGGGAAAAAAAATAAAGCCCCAAATTAGTAAAACCGTTATAGTATAATAAAGATGAAAATTTTGTAGTGATGAATGTTTGAAGACTTGATATACTAATTTGGAAGAAGATTTTATAAACATGGAGGACTTTCATATGTTGATGATTGTTTGAAGACTTGCTATGCTAATTTGGAAGAAGATTTTCTAAAGCATGAAGGACTTTTTTATGTTTATGAGAGTGATTTATTTTTTGAGTTAACGTCTTTGAAAAAAGTTGTATTGAAATTAATCAAAAGACCAATTGAAGTGGTAATTACTTGAAAGTAACATAGATTGTTTATAAAATTTTGTTGAATATAATGGTTGCAATTGTCTTGGGAAAAAAGGTTTTCAATGACCTTACCTTTAGTTAACCATGTCACAATAAAATTTGAATAGATTAGCTATGTTAACAAATATATGATCTCTGGAGTTAAAAGTCTTGGAAGAAATTTTACTGAAAGAAAACAAAAATGCCAATTGAAGTGGTAATATATTTGAAAGGAATGGATGATTATTTCGTAAATACGTGACTAGTTTTTAGAATATTATTGATTATGTCAATTGCAGTTAGCTTGAGAGAAATAATCATTTCAAAATTGAAACTATTCAAATCTTTGTCTTCAGTCAATCACATTGTAAAAAAGTTTGAATGAATTAGCTATTTTAAAAAATATATGGTAGAATATGTAAACTTAATTAGCAATTTTAGAGCAAAAAATGTGACAAGAGTAATGTGTAAATAATGTTTTGTTGTAGTTTATTTATTTACTAGCGTATGTCCGTACCTGACGGTACGGTGTAAATAATGTTAGGATTATAATATAATTATAATCGAGCACTATTTAAATTTAAGATTAAAATGTAATTATAAAAATATATTTAATAGACTATACTTTACAATTCCAAACAAATCAAATATAAATATATATATATATATATATCAAATAATGCACACCAGCTAGTGTTTTACAATTTAAAATAAATTAAAATTAAAATGCACACCAGTTAGTGTTACTGTTGCCAATCAAATTAAAAAAATAAACATCATATTGTCATACACCAAAAGAGTGGGTTAAATCTTTATAAATAAAAAAAAAAAGTGGGTTGAAGCTTTCCAGAATATGTATGCTTTACAGAAGATGTGTCAATAACATATTTTCAAACATGTGTTTGCCCAAACTTCCTCCTCATTACTTTCAAAAAAGTCTTTGTATCAACTTGTATGTATCCCTAATTAGGGATGGCAATATGAACCCGGCCCGATGGGGACCCGGACCGCCCCGTCCCGATAAATAGGTTTTTCCCCAAAAATTATTCCCCGTAGGGCGGGGGCTGGTATTAAAAAATGCATCCCCGATGATTTTCGGGCCGGGGACGGGGATAAATTTCTCAGCCCCGGCCCCGGTCCGACATTTCCCCGAAAGATCCCCGCATATCCTATTTATATATTTAGTTGTATTATTGTTGTATTATTATATTTATATAACTCTTTCTCTCTCTCTCTCTCTCTTACTCTCATCTCTCAACTCACTCTCTTCCTGCGCCGAACATCGAGATCTCTGTGGTATCAACAACGAAAATTCGTCGCCATTGACCGCCGCTGGTCTGTGTCATCGCTGATCTTGCTTTTCATTGTTCTTTGTTGTTGATCTTGCTCTTCGTCACCGATCTTGGTGGTCGTTCTTCGTTGAACGCTTCTCCGTCGCTGATCCTGCTTTCCATTACTTTCCGTGAATCGATCTTGCTTGTCGTTCTTCAATAGATGCCTTTCCATCACTGATAGGATCCGATTCGATGTTTGGCAAAAGAAAAAATCATGGTGTTGAAGATCGAGTGACTACGGGGGTTGAGAGTATTTCTCTCCCTCTCACTTCGGACCGCCCCGTCCCGATAAATAGGTTTTTCCCCGAAAATTATTCCCCGTAGGGCCGGGGCTAGTATTAAAAAATGCATCCCCGATGATTTTCGGGCCGGGGACGGGGATAAATTTCTCGGCCCTGGCCCGGCCCCGGCCCCGGCCCGACATTTCCCCGAAAGATCCCTACATATCCTATTTATATATTTAGTTATATTATTGTTGTATTATTATATTTATATAACTCTTTCTCTCTCTCTCTCTCATACTCTCATCTCTCAACTCACTCTCTCAACTGACTCTCATCTCTCTCTCACTCTCTCACTCTCTGGTTCTTCTCTCTCTGTCAACTCTCAAAGCCATGTCGATCTAGACCAGATCCAGTCTCAAGAACAGCCGCTCCGCCGTTCTCCGTCGCCACACTTCCTCTACCATCCTCCATCGCAGATTCGCAGCACCGCCGTAGGCCGTAGCACCCCCTCTCTCTCTTCTCTCTCGCCGTAGCACCGCGGTTTCAGCCATGTTTCGGCGTAAATCTGAGTCGATCGACATGGATCCGTGCGCGATCCACACAGATCTGTGTATATG